GATTTTGGTTGATTCTGGTTCTTATTTACGTATTTGGCTTAAAAACCGGAGGCAGCGTGGCTGAATGGTTAGGGTGCCAGAAATCCGGAGGTTGCGGGTGTCTTGAGTTGTTTCTCGGTAGACCCTAGTTCAACTCCGCGGTCATGCTTGTAAATAGCCAACTGGTCTGCCTCACGTCAGTTGGGATTTTTTAAGCCTATGGAAATATTTCTTTCTTTCAAGTAAGTGGTATGCCTGAGAACTACAGGTGTAGTTAGCTGTAGCTAAGCGCACTGATCACTATAAACATTCTACTTTCAACATTCAGCATTCAACATTAAATCTACCCTGATACAACCATGACGAAAACATGTGTCATCACGCGACGGACGTTGATGCGGGATATGACCCGAGTACTGCTGCAACGTAACACTGTTAAGGTTTAGGATTGTTTTCCCACAAATAAGGGGTTTAATTTCATTTACAACGAAGCCACCGTTAAAGCGCCTTCTGAAGTGATTCCGACATCGTTGTCCTGTTGAATAACGTGGAAGTGTTTATTACATTTTGCCGTTTTCAGTGAAACGTTGAACACAGACGGTGCTGCAGCCGCTGACAACAACGACACAACACAAGACTCAGACGAACAATCGGATGACAATGAAGAAGAGTCGTACCCAGCTCTCGGAGATGCTCTAACACAGCTTGGTTTACCTGAATACGTGGGGCTGTTCGAATCTGAAGAAATGGACATGGAGACGTTTGTAAGTTGATCTTATGACCGTTACTTGTTCTTACTTATCAGATAGCCAGACTAGAGAAGAGTTAATTAAGCAGATTTCTGAGATGGAAGACGAGCGACAACTTTTTCGCTAACTGGAGAAGGCTTAAACCTTTCTTGAGTTACAATGTAGGTTCTTGCAAATTTCAGTGGAACCTGAGTCAGACTTCAAATTTTCGATATTGCAATAGACTTCCATCCTCGCTTCCTGCCGTCAACACACATTTGTATTTCCTAATGGGTATTGATATTTGTCGATTGCCTTTTTTGCGACATGTCGGTTCAGGGAGTTGTATGATCCAAGTTTATTCCGTTTTGTTCGTGGCAGCTGCTGTGTGGCGAGGAGGACATGAAAGAGATGGGAATTCCCATGGGACCGAGAAAGAAATTAATGGGATACCTGAGAAATCAGAAACAAAACATGGTAGGTATTCAGTTTAGTCGTCTCGTCTGTGAATATCATTTTTCGTTTGACTACTGTGTTTGTTATTTTCCTAAAAACAAAATCAGACGCAATTACAGAGTCAATTTACTATGATGGGAAATAGCATAACAGTTAACCAATCACAAACCGAAGCCAAAATATGTGACCAGCTCCAAGCGTGGCAAAAGAAGTTTTGTCGTGTAGTTTTTTGGTTAATGACTGAGAAGTCATACAAAAGTTACATGTTTGTTCTGATTGATTACGTCAGATCGTACTGCAATAGACAATGGCAACACATTGCAGCAGTAGACCAAAACAGTCACTTTGACAGTCAGT